TCTTGCTTGGAGTGACATGATCCAAAAAAAAAAAAAATGCAGAAAACAGAAAATCCCATATGTAGAATGGAGTATAATTAAAAAAAACATTCATTTTTCTGGTCATGAGACCCAGGTTCAAATCTCACGGTTGTCAGTTTGTCAGGGAGGTAATCTCAGGGTGTGGCACCATTGGGAAGAGCCTGAAAAACATGCCATGGGTTGACCCAAGCCTTGTAAGTGAAACAAGGCAGACAGAACTGTTTGGAAGCCATTGATTGTTCTGCTAGTAGGAAAATGCAAGTCATTATTCAAACTGCTGATCATATCAGAAACTGTAACTTCAGAACTTGAGTGATCATAGCTCTCCACAGCTTCTTGTCATTTGTGACACTAAATAATATTTGTACCCAAACTATCCTCAGGGCTGGTGCGTACTACCCCAGAACTAGCTACCTGGTGTAGGGGTCAAGCCTGATTGGGGGCCTGAGGTAGTGCTTTGTGACCCTTGCTATCTTATCAACATTTTCTTTTTTCTACCTACATTATATACATTACAAATTAAACTAAGCACAACTGTCTATTAAACGATGAAAAATTTTTGCAGACGTGATGTCATTCAAGAGATTTTTTTTTCATTCAAATTCAGGAATTTGTTTTGTCCATGTGAAGTCTAAAAAAAAAAAACACTGTATAAAATTCACTATTTTTTTTATCCAGAATGTCTTAAAATTCTTCAAGTTTTTAACCAAAAAAATCTCAGGTTGATGTTAAAAATTGCCACAAAACATTGCTATTTTATTCAAGATGGAATAATCTTTCATGGCATGTTATTAATTTATATTTAGATACAATGTATTTATTTTCAATCTTTCTAGTTTATTTGTTCACCTATTGTTGTGGAGTGATTTTGCAGTGGAGGCTTGTATTTATACTAAATCGGTCCTGAAATAGGTTCAACGTACAAAATATTAGGAACTTGATATAATATATATTATGCAGAGAAATCTAGTTGTGGTCGCTGATACTTTTGTATTCGACTGTCATCTGACATCGACTGACTGACTCATTACTCTTACTACTCATACTCATTATAGGTGGGAGATCTATTAACTATAGAATAGGTGTGTTCCACTATAACACCTATATTGCATATGATCCATTATTGTACATAATTAGGTTACAATAAAATTTGTATTCTATATGAATACTACCCTATGAAAAGTGAGATGTAGTAGAGTGGGGGGGCATATATCATTAATTTGGAGAGGGCTTTAGGGGGGCACACAATGCTTACACCTGCCCTGACTATCCTTTCCAATCCCTATTCTGCTGTCCATTTGCATAAACTCATTAGGTAGGTTACTTGCCGTTTTCCTTCTGCTTCTCTTGCTTTCAATATATTCTGTGAGTATCAAATTCTCCAAACCCTGTTTCCTCACTAAATTGTACAAAATAGAAAATAAAATAAGAAAAAAGGCACGTGATTGTATTTTGATATTAAAGTAAAGAAACAAATATTGAAAGTATTATTGCAAATTCACTACTAACTGTAAGAAGACAATTTATGGTCAATGGCACCACATAAAGTGTGAGCTACAAATTGTGACCGTCCTGGACATGATGATAAACTCCATCCATATCATGGGTAATACGATAAACTACGTCCAACAGCAAAGCCTCTGATCAGGAGGATTTAAGGAGCGTGGAACCACCGCTTAATTGCTGGTGTTCTCATGTCCACCCTGACCCATGGTGGTAGCACCTGTTAGGGTCCCAGCTATGGGCAAATAATTGACCTCCACAATCTGACTCAAAACATTATGAAATTGTAAAAATAGATTTTAATACTAGAAATACTTTGAAAAAAATTAGTATTAGCAATAAATATTTGAAAAAAGAAAATATTACCAGAAATAAAAATTTTGTCAGCATTAAATAACCCACTGAGGTTAATATGTCACAAAACAAAACAAACTATACATTTTTTAAAAAAAAAAATATTACCAGTTATACATTTCTGAAAAAATTAGCAGCTATATATTTCTGAAAAAATTAGCAGCTATATATTTCTGAAAAAATTACCAGTTATACATTTCTGAAATAAATTACCAGATATACATTTTTGAAAAAAAAAAAAAAAAACAAATTTTGTTGGCATTAAAAAAAAATAAACAAAAACAAATTGTGAACCTCAAAATCAAGCAGGTACATGAGTATAACTATCTGGGTAGTGACATAACAGATGACAGAAAATATGATAGATTCAAAGAGACATTGGTATAGGGAAGGGTGCCTTTGAGAAACTAAGCAAGATAATAAGAAATAGGAAAATTTCATTAGAAACAAAGAAAAGAGTGTAGAACTGCTATTTAATATCAATGCAGTGGATACTGGACAAATTCCTCACAGATGAAGAGACTTGGGACAACAGAAATGTGTAAAATGGGAATGAAAAGAATACTTATGTTCAGAATCAGAAAAGAGTAAGTTGAAATTTCTAAGAGAACTAATGAGTAAAGAAGGCTTGGAGAATTTGACACTCACAGGACACATTGAAGGCAAGAGGAGCAGAAGGAGTAACCTACCAAATGAGTTTATTTAGATAGCAGAATAAAGAATAAGAGGGATAATAAGGAGACAAATGTTATTTAGAGCTACAAAGGACAGGAAGTTGTGGAGAGTCATTTATCACCAAATCCTGAAGGGGTATGGCATGTAAAAGAAAAAGGAGATTATTGTGCCTTTTGTAAAATTCAGGGTAACATATTTTCTGGTGTCAAAAACACAGGTTTTTTTCAACTGAAATAAGTCTAAAAAATCTGCTATGCAATGGTGAGGGGTTTTGATTACTCCAGAAAGAGGTTATCTATGCCAGATAGTAAACTGAATTCCTGTATGTTGTGCGAATTTTTGAAACATATTTCAGGAATAAAAATGCATCTTTGACGCTGGCAAATATGGTAATTCTGGTTTTTGCATGCCTGCAATCTTTCATTTTTACACCAACTCTGCTCTTTGAAATAAACTGAGAACTTAAAAAAATATATATATACGTTCTCTCCTACAACATAAGGTTGATGATATAGAAAGCATTAAATCAATATCTCCTTAGCAATTTCTTGCTGCTCCTTGAAGGGGTTGGGGGGGAGGTTTTCTTGCAACATCTTTTGTGCTTTCAGTAAGATCAAAGAACCTTCAGGAAGAAGAATATTATGTTTCTTTAAAAGAAAATGAAATTTAAAACAAATTCTAATGAGTATGGGATTTTGTTTTTTGGCATTTTTTGTTAAAATAGTAAAGGTAATCATATTATTACTTGTTTCAATTGTGGAAATGACCCCCGAGAGGATGTTTCTCTGATTGCTACAATTGTAACCTGTTCAAGTCTAGGGTTCCCTGATATATCCCTATAAACTGTGTTTCTTACTCTGTAACTTGTAACCTTGGGAAAGTTACTGAGTAGAATAATTAACCGAGGGTTGGTAATGAATGATAATACTTAGGAGATGAACAACACATATAAGATTTACCAGCGGTGCATAGATAAAGTATTCAACTGCTAGAAGTGAGTCAAGTGAATTCCACAATGAATCTCCAACTGCAGGTGATCTACCAACCACCCCACGTGGTCAGATGTGGCACAAGGCCAAATTTAATGTGGGATTTCTGAGTCCATAGGCTTGGCCAAAAATTCCCCGTAGACCCCATATAAAACGATGTTGAGTAGCTGTTTCCCCAAGACAAGAATCTACCCTTCGACATAACCTTGTCTGAGGATCCTCTCTGCCCAGAGGCAGAGAGTTTGACCAGCACAGCTGGAGACGAATCTCCAACTGCAGACCAATATACAGTATTTACTACTGTATTTATGCGAATGGGGACATACCCATTATTGTCTGTAGGTATGCTACAACAGTAACCCTCTACCTCAAGTGTATCTTGGGCCTTATACATGGTGAACATCATTGTAAAATATAAAGATGGTTTTACTAGAGGAATGCATCAGAAATGATTTTACTTTGGAATTGCATCGGAAATAATTTTACTATAGGAATGAATTGGAAAGGGTTTTATTTTGGAATTGCATTAGAAATTATTTTTCTATATGAGTGAATTAAAAATAGTTTTTCTATGGTAATGTTAATATTAGCTCTTTTCCTACATTTGGCATTCATTGACTGAGCAGCCAATACTACTGTCTGTTAAAATTTATAAAATTATTCTTTAATAACAATTTTTCAGGAAAATAAGTTTCTCAAGTCCAGCAGCTGTTTCCAGTACTGATGGGAGTTTCCTTCTTAACCTTTTGTTTGAAGTAGTGTGGAATGTCAACATCTTGATTATATCATTATTTTTTCTTTGAGTTACATGTGCTATCCATTTTAGTTGTTGCTGCTGTTGAAAGTCCTCAAGTGTTTCTGTTATTTGGCACAGTTCTTTGCATGTGATTCTGTAGCATCAATCCACAAGGTTGGAATAAGTGTGTTCTTCACCAAGTCCCACAGGATCTTTCTATCAATGTTGATAAAAAGCTTGAAATTGCTTCGGCTCTTCAAATTTTGGGGTCAAGTCACTGGATCTAACCAACGCTTTTATTCACTTATGTCCTTATGAGTTGATAAGTGGTAAACAAAAAAAAAAAACAAAAAAACTTGGAGAGTTGAGTTAAAGGGAGATAACTGAGACATCTGGAAGAGGCATGGCATATGGGACGAAAATAATCTACCATGGTTTTAGTTTGAAATTCCAATCACCTGAAGAAGTCTGGAGTGTACAACAGCCGAAACATGAATGTAGCAATAAAGATGAGGACAACAGTCCGAACATTGTAAATAATTACAATACCTCATTTCAGAAATATAGAGAGATATTGACCTGGGTGTTAGATAATTTATTCTTCCCAATTAAAGAAAGAAGTGGCAGTAATATCGCCAATTCAATAAATAAAGAACAGGAGGGAGAGAAAAGGAAGTGAATAATAAGAAAAGAGTGAAATATCTCCAACTCAATAAGTGGCTTACAGCCATATCACATTGAAACACTGATTCTTGTACGATCATGAAAGTTAAGCAATGTTGAGCCTGGTCAGTACCTAGATGGGTAACCGCTTGGAAATACCAGATGCTCTAATGGATAACATCTCAGAATTGGAAGTCAGAACGCAAAGTTCTAATTCCAGTGGTGTTCACTTATGTGTAAATTCATACGCTGAGGTATGCTATGGGTTAATTAGTAGGCCTTGTATCATTAAATTATTATTATATCCCAAATAATTTTCTTGCAATCTAAAAATATTTTCTGGCTTTAAATAACCCACAGAAGGTTGATAAGCCATAAAAAAACAAATCAATCAACAAACTCTACAAGAAAGACAGGAAGAGAAAAGAATGAGAGAATAAGAAAGAAGGGAAATATATCCAATTCAATAAATGAGAGAGATGCATATATAAGGTTGAAACCAAGGTAGCGGATTCAACTGACCTCCTGATTTTTAAAGTATATATATATATATATATATATATATATATATATATTGTGTATTTGGGCAGAAAACCCTCTTTTATACAAGTTTTGTTAAAGATGACTGACAAGATACTGCGATTAAGCTATTTAATTTTTCTTGTGTTCATACAAGTGTTTTCTTTTCTGGACATAAAATTTCTATGAAATTTCTCAGACATCCAGGCCAGTAAATCTTGTTTAATACTGTTTATTATAAACAGAGCATTTGCTTAAATATTTGTGTCTATAAAAATAATGTATAAACAATAAATATATTAAAATAATTGTCAGAGTTAGTCCATTTCATAATATTTGCTATACCACTTAGCTGCAGAGGAAGTGTCTAGTTAGCAAAGTCAGAGGATACATATTTTCTATGACAATTTCTCGGACATTCAGGCTGGTAAATGTTGTTTAATACTGTTTATTATAAACAGAGCATTTACTTAAATATTTGTATCTATAAAAAGAATGTATAAACAATAAAAGTGTTTAAAAACTGTCCAAAAGTTCTGTATATGTAAGCACTTTTGTTTATTCTTTTAGCCATTATCAAGGATGATTTTTATTTTTAACTGAATGTGTGGGTTTTTATGTATGTGCCTAAAGTTATGGAAATGTTTTAAAATTATTATAAAATATTATTTCATTATTATAAAATTATTGATCATTATAATTATTCCCTTTTCACCATTATATATTTTTTGTTTTCCTTTTTCTTTTTTTCTTTTTCCATTTTATCATATATTATAATTTATTTTCATACTTATAATTTTCTTTACACTTTTCTTTTCTCCCATTTATTTTTGTTAATTTTACTATTTTTAAGGTACAATATTAAAAATATGTAACATCAAATATCACCATATCAGTGTCGTGATAGCCAAGTATATTTTGATTTAAACCGTAAAACCATCATTGTGAATTCTGCATGAAATTCAGACTCATGCAAGAGGTGTGAGATAGTATATATATTTTTTTTTTGGGTAATTTAAGAGATTTTATCTGTTCCGTGAACTCAATATTTCTTAAGAATTTATTCCAAGGAATAATAAAACAGAATTGGAATATTTAATATTCCAAATGGTTATAAATTATTCCATGGAATATTAGTGTAAATTTTTATTATATCCTTACTCAATTACAAAATTGAGTTCTACCTGGATTCTATCCAAGAATAGAATTATTTTTTAAAAAATATATATATATATATATATATATATATATATATATGTGTGTGTGTGTGTGTGTGAATGTGTGATGCGTATGTATGTATGTATGTATATATATATATATATTTATATAGTTTAGATATATGATTGCATATGTATGTGTATATTAATCACTAATATCATCAATATTTATTAATATATATTTTTTGTGCTGTTTCATTAACATCTGCACTATATGTGTGATAGGTTGTAATTCTATTACCATATATCTATATCTATCTATGTGTGTGTGGGGGGGGAGAGATAATAAAGATGATATCAAAATAATAAGAGAATAATAAGGAAAGAGTGAAATATCTCAAACCAAATAAAAGAGAGAGAGAGAGAGAGAAGGATGGGAGAATAAGGAAAAAGAGAAAGAGATCCAATTCAATGAGAGAGAGAGAGAAGAGAATAACAAAATAATGAAAGAGGAAGAGAAAAAAGAAAAGAATAATAAGGAAAGAGTGAAATATTTCCAACTCAATAAAAAAGAGAGAGAGAAAGAATAAGGAAAAAAGTGAGAGATCCAACTCAATGAGAGAGAGAGAGAGGAAAGAAAGAGATAAGGAGAGAAAGAAGAGAGATAGAAAGAGAGAGAGAGAGGAGACAAAAAAGAAGAGTATTTTAAAGGATGAGAAATTATCTCAAAGGAAACAAAAAAAGAGAGAGAAAAATCTTAGAAGAAAAAAAATATTTCCAACAGAATAAATGAGAGAGAGATATGCACAGAGAGGGAGAGAGGGAGAAAAAAAAGGAGAGAGTAATAAGAAATGAGTGAAATATCTCAAACTCAATAAAAAAGAGAGAGAGAGAGAGAATAAAAAATATATATATCCAGCTCAATAACTAAGGGAGAGAGAGACAGAGAGAGAGCAGGATAAGTGAGAAAATAACAAAATAATGAAAGAAAAAAGGAGAGAATAATAAAGACTGTGTGAAACATCTTGAACTCTACAACAAAAAGAGAAAAGAGAGAGAATAAGAAAAAAGGGAAATATCTTCAACTGAATAATTAACAGAGAGGCAGAAAAAAAGAGATAGAGTCAAGAGAGAATAACAAAATAATGAGTGAGAGAGAGAGTGAGAGAAAAGAGAGAGAAAATAAGGAAAGAGTGAGATATGTCCAACTCAACAAAATAATGAGAAAAGGAGAAAACTGAGCAAAGAATGAGGAAAGATTAAAAGATCAAAAAAATTAGAGAGAGAGAGAGAGAAGTGGAGTAGAGAAGAGTATAATGAAAGAGTGGCAAAGAGAGAAAGACGAAGGTGAAAAGAGAGAAAGATTGAAATACTTCCAACTTTAATAAAATGGAATAGTAAAAATCAAATAACCCATTGTGCAAAAAAGTGCTTTAAGGTGCAAAATTATTCATATTATTGATTCATTCTTACAGTAAGCAAATAAATAAAATTTGAATTAATCAATACATTTTATGTTTGTAGAAATTGCTTGAATAAATTTAGATGGGACTTGAGAGATGGGGGAGACATAATTGCACAAGACTTGCTTTTATTGATTCTCCGACACCTTTTAGAACTCACCACTAATAAAATCTATGATGATATACAAAAGTTTTAATTGCTTTTGTACCTTCTGTACTTTATATCCAGTTTATTAAACAAAATATCACAGCCCTTAAGGACATAGGCACTCATGATTTTCCACAGATTCCTTTTCATTGTTATCTGCAAAAGAACAACTTCTTGGGAAAGATAGTGGAAAGAGAAAGGGTTTTAAAGGAAGAGAATGCAGAAATTCCTTTCTATATTATCTGCAAATTGAAAGACTTCTTGGGAAAGAAGGAGAATTGAGAGAGAGAGAATTGCCCTATGCAGAAATTCCTTGTCTAGAAAGAAGAGAAAATTGCCACAGAGAGAGGGGAAAGAGATAATGGAGTTTTTTCTATTATTTCGCTTCAGTTTGAATACAGAGATAGAGAAGGAAAGACAAGAAACATAAGAGAAGTTTAAAGGAAGAGATTCTGCTATTTAACCCATAGAGAGTAGAAACAAAGATGGATTTCCAAGGTTTTAAGATTAAAGTGAACATAACAGAATGTCAGAATTTGAATTTGGGCTTGAAAATTTTAAAGGAAGATGATAACCATCAGAGAGACCAAATCTACTATTCCTTTCAACTAATAATGATAATAATGATAGAGAGAGAAAGAATATGAAAAAATTAAAGAATTTTACAAAGAGAATATTTAAAGGCAGAAGAGATTGAAGAAACACTTAATAGATAACTAGAACTATAATATTTAATAAATTAAGGAAGGTTCAAATGACTCCTTTGGTCAGCTGACGCAAATGTCTGACCCTGATGGGAGCTTCTATATGAAACTCTTGAGTCAGCTAACCAAACAGCAATTTTAACTGTAGACTGGTCAGACCGAACTTCCAATCTAGTTTGCACTTAAATTCATAAATTCAAGGTACCAAAAGGAAAATGCATTAGAACAATTACCAT